CTCTTTTGAAAATCACGGTTCCGAACGCAGTCGGATACCTTAACAGTATGGACTACCTTTTGAGACACTTGCCTTGGACATTATGGTATATTTTTCTTTTTATGAAGAATTAAAGTTAGGTGACTTCATTTTCTCAAAACCCGACTGAAGAAAACGACGCTAATTTTAACCAAACCAGCAAACCATTTTGCTCGATTTATGACTATGATTAAAATCAAATTCATGAAATACCATGTTAGGCAATAAATTACTGTAAAATTGTGTTATTCGACGTCACTGTGTCACGGCTCTATCCGCGTCCTTCCATTAACAAAATCTTCTTGGGAAACTTTTGATCTTTCAAAACTATTTTATTCACAACGAGCCCTCTGAAGAAGAAAACATTATTATTCAAATTAGGTCTGCTATATATAGTCCATGCTTTCAAGCTAGAGAGGGAGAAAGGGAGGATATAGGATAGATTGCTACTGATTAGGTATTATTCAAATTTATAGTATAATTTAGATATTTGATAATTGAAAGAATTAAAGAGATGATTGGTCACTAGAGTTTATAAATAGTACTCAGAAAACTAGAAAAGTAGATTCGATCCTGAAATAAGTGTGAGTCGATATTTAAAGTCTTCTCATACTTCGTGTACCTCGTTATTTATCTACATATTGCTTAGAATGGGAACATCTCTTTTTTAAAATTACTTGAATTTGTGTTGTTAATTGTGTGATCAATAAATAGATTGTTTTGGAGTTTGGCTAGTCTACCTTCCAATCCTGCCACATCCCTAGGCTCGGACCAAAGGTCCTCACAACTGTACCTATTGATGTGATGAAGGGTATCAATAGAGGTATTTTTAAAATGAAGATGCTTTGCAAATAAAAATATTCGCTATCACTGGTGTGTATCAAAAAGAATAAGTTTTGAACCATTTTGGAATCTTAACTAAGAGGGTCATTTTTTAAAAAAATTGCCTGACGTAGTATGCAATATTTTTTCTTTTTGTGAAGATTTAAAATTAGGAGACATCACACACTTTCTCCCATCTCGACTCAAATTACGTTGGTTTTAACTAAAGTAGAAAGGTTTTTTGACAGATTTGTGCACGCCTACGTAAGATCACGTTAGTTAAAAATTCATTGTAAAATTGTGAAGTTTGTAGTCCTAGTACCTAATGATGAGATGCAGGTTGTCAATTTTCCACCTTTTCAAAAATATGACATTTTATTTTCCCGCCGTATTGAACGAGTGACATATTTTTAGAAAAAAGTCTAGCGAAATAAATCTTTGATACGTTTCATTTTTTGAAAAAATGAGAATACTTTTAGGTAAGGGAATATCTTATTTTTACTATAATATAATTATTTTTGCACAGGCCTGTTTTGCCTGAAGAAAAATCTTGCTATTTTTGTAAGTATATTGAGCTGTTTTTGTCGAAATAAATATACAAAATATGTATTGTGATTTCTTAAAATTATTTTTCTCTTTACCTGGCTTTTGTAATCGATACATTGATATATTTTTTAATTTAATTTAGAAAATCAGGCTTCTAAGAGTTAAGGGTTAATTAAAGGATATAATGTTTTTATTTTTTTTATTTTTTCCAGAACTGATATAACCCATTCTCCTTTCACGACATGCCCTCTTTACTTTAAGTTTCAGGACACACTGTATATAAAGTTGAACCCTGATTTAACGAATTTATCGGGACCGAACATTTTATTTGTTGATTCGGGGTTATACCTAATATCGTAGTCAAAAAAATATAAACGTGTTTCACTTGCAAATCCTGTAATAAACAACTACACAACAAAATATCCATCGTAAGAAATTACACACTTTTTATTCAACAGCTAAAAAAAACTATTAGCAAATTCCTTCCTTCCTCAGTGGCTCGGCAGCCCAGGGTGGGCCTTGGCCTTCTAAAGAAGCCTTTTCCAGGCTAACCTTCTTCTTGCTAGTGCTCGTGGCCGCGGTAGCCGAGTGGTATAGGTATCTGACCGTGGCTTGCTTTGTCACGGGTTCGAGCCCAGTACCACTAAAGACCCGCCGTGTAGGGCAGCGATGCACGTTAAATCTGTCGAGAGCTGAAACGTCCTCCCGTTGATGTGGTGTGGTAATTAGGAGAGGGGGTGCCAGCTCAGGGGTCGTCCACGTCACTTGACCATGGTTCAAAATTACGTGGTCCGTCGCCAAAAGCCTTCGTGTAGCTAAACAGTGCGACGTTAATATTCAATTAATCAATCTTGCTAGTGTTCTCCAATTCTTAGTTCTCAAAATTAGATCTTTTCCAGGCCATCAATCTAAGATTTGGTCTGCCCTTTCTTCGAGTGCCAATTGGTTGGGCTTTGAAGATTTTTTTAGTGGTGCGGTTTTTATCCATTTTGACAACGAGACCTGCCCATTTAATTCGTTATATTTTGATGAAGTTAACGATGTCAGATTCTTTATATGATTGATAAAGCTTTAAATTTTATCTTCTTCGCCACGTTCCATTTTCCTGAATTCATCCCAAAAAATAAATCTTAAAATATTCCTTTCGTAGATACTTATTATCTCATCTGTTCGAGACATGGATCAAGTTTCACATGCATGAGTTAATACCGATCTTAAAAGACTTTTATACAATATAGAACCTTTTTTTTCTTTTGCTTTTCTTTTGATTAAATTCAATTTCATATATTTTCGTATTCCATTAAGACATCTATTAGCCATAATAATTCTCTTTTGGATTTCAGTAGTCCGGATATATTTTATTCTTAAGATTTCGTAACAATATATTTTTATGGGTAGGGCTGTTAGTCCTACGTCTAACCCCTGAATTAGCAAATTATTTAGCAAATTTTAGACAAATAGATGCTTGAGAATCTTTTTGATTCCTGAATCGAAAAAGTTCTTTTCCGACTTTATACAAAGGAGAAAATACTGCGTTATTTACACTCTGCTGCATGGGGTGTGTTTCCAGTTTTCAAACAATGTAAAACATCAGAAAATTTAGTAGTTTTTATAGGAGTTTCTTTATCAATTTCTGCATCAGAATCGCTATTCATTGGCTCCAACAAATCAATCAAAAGTTTCTGCAAAACCATGCACGCGATAATTTTCACTTTTCTCAAGAAAGAGAGAAAATGGTAAAAACTTTCAAGATATCTCCTGCGTTGAGGAGAGGGATCAGTTAAGAAAAGAATTTATTGCCCAGTTAAAAATTCGTGCGATTAGCTGTAATCATGATTTTTCTACATGTGTAATGTCTAATTATAGGCTACACCCTTTCCTATAGAAATTTGTTGCTTGCAAGCAAAGCCTTTTTCTATTTCAGCCCAAAAGGACATGTCATTTGAAAAGAAATCCAATTTTATCTCATCAAAACTAATTTTAAAAAAAATTTGTTTTCGTTTGCTGAATAATTCATTAATTCGAGATTTTTATTTGTTTAATAAGATTTTTTGCCTTCGTTTTAATCGGAAAAATGTAAAAATTATTAAATCGGGAAATTTGTTAAATAAGGGTTCGGTAAATCAGAGTTCGACAGTGGCGTAACGAAGAATATTAGCACCCCCCTTCCCCTGCAGAATCAGTTGTTACCTTTAATATTTTATAAATTAGTTAAACACGTAATTGGATTCAGTCAAGCTTTGGACCACCTAGAATCCTGGGTATTCCCAGCGATGCTGGGACTGAGAGGGTGTACGCTACGCCACTGATGTTCCACTGTATATATCCTTCAAGAATTATTAAAAATTAGAGAAATTAGGAGTAAAATAGATACTCTGATCGTTCTTATTTTAACTTTATTTTTTTTACTCAGTGGAACGAATGAATTCCATTTTTGTGAGAAAGTTAATTTTTATCCTTTTTTTTTATATTATTTTTTAACAATAAAAAGTCATATGACATCTTCAGTAAAATGACACTTTATCTTTTGAGAAAGAGATTGAATAACATTTTATGAATATACTATTTCGAATTTCTTGTAATTCAAAATTTTTAATTATTTGATTTATTGGTTGATAGAAGACGCAAAGGCCTGATCTAATTATATAATAACTTTTACTAATAATTTCGTGTTAGAAATCAAATTTTGTGCACCTATTTACTGTATTTACAAAAGAAATTTTCCTTTCTCTTCGAACGTAAACTCAGAAATTTCCATATTGTAAGGATATTTAAGTTACTTCACTTTATTAAATTCAATTTAATAATTTTCAAAACTTGCTTTAAATTCTAGTAATCAATCATTATTTTAATTTTAAATTAATTTGAAGAAATATAAAAGAATAAATTTCAATAGCAAAAATTAAATTATGGATGTTTTCCAGAATTGCATTGAAATTAAAACAATTTTCTTCAACCTTAATCTCTGAGAAAATAAAAACGATTAGTTTTTTGTAAAAAATATTCATTAAAATTTCTGAAAAATATTTTTCAATATTAAAAACATAATGACTAGTAGCTTAGTTCACGTTCAATATTAAACATTCTAAATTTATTAGCAACTGCAAGTGGCAACATTCTGGCTTAATATTTAAGAATTTTAAAGGTTTTTTTAACGTTTCTCCATCTTTTCAAATTAGGGAAGGTGGGTTCTGAAATAAGGAGACTATCTTTATATCTCATCTATACTTATATTTCTATCTTTTCTTGATAAATAACTTTAATAAAAAAAAATTTTATTCGGTATTTGAAAGCTTATATATATATAACAGAACTGAAAAATAATTTAGAATAACAATACCGATAATATTGAGGAAAAACTAAAAAAAATTCTGACATAAGTTAAACAACAAATAATGTGCAACAAAGCAATAAACAATAAGTAATATACGAAAAAAAAATTTTAAGTCAATTCCTACTTAGGTCAACAAAATAAAAATTTTATTTTAGTTACTTTTTATTATAAATAGTTACAACTATTATAAATATATCTATATACATATGACAGAATCAAACTTAATTATTCTAATAAAATAGTATAGTAAAAAAAAATCACATTCTAAGAAATTAGGCAAAGGCAAGTGGGAATCGAACCCACGCCCTTTGTATCAGAAGTCCAACGCGATATCCATTGTGCTACAGGGACACACCGGACGTTATATATGCTGTTGGACTAGTTTTTACGTTTGTTACTATTTATTCATTTTTTAATTTAATTAATTAATTAGTATTTTTTTTAAAAAAACTATATTAACATCAAGTGTCAGCCACTACAAGTTTAAGGAAATGTATTTGAACTTGAATGGATGAATAGAAAGTATTTTATTAACGATTGAAAATTTGAACGAGATATATATAGAGAGATAGAGAAATAGGGAGAGTGAACTAAAAGTAGGAACTGAAAAAGTAACTTCGGAAAAATTTAAAAAATAAAAAAAAAATCTTTAAAATACTCTTTTTTTTAGCAGTGGTGCATAGAAATCTATTTTTAAAGTATATAGTTCCAAAAAATAACATAAATTATTAAATAAGAAAAGAAATTATAGAATGAAAATAAAAATGGTGAAATTAATACTTTATGCATTTTTTTAAAATAGAGAAACTAACACTTAGTCAAACATACAACATTATTTTTTAAGCAAATTTAAAATAGCTACCGTATTCACAGAATATATAAAGAGAAAATCATATAATTGTGGAAGTTAAACTGGAACATCAATAAATAAAAAAAACTTTTTATAAACAGTATTCTTCATTTGACAAATATTAAAGCATTAAAAAAGAAAAAAAGTATTTAAAAAATCATTCTTACTTTTCATTGTCCATAAAATGCTAGTATTTTTTTGAAGATACGTTAAATCTTCGGAACACTTATTTGTAGCAGGCTGGAGTAGGGCATCAATAAACAAGTTGGGATTTACATAATCTTTAAGAATATCCTTCAAAGGAAAAAAATCTTCCCCCGGAATCGAATAGAGACTCTTGGATGCACTTAAATGTTTAACGGATTTTTCAACCAATTTAACAAAATTGTAGTTTGAGTATGTATTTGTATCTTCCTCTCTTTGACAAGAAACTAAATAATTGTTACAGGCAATTAACACGAGTAAAAAAATTAAAAACTGTTTCCTCAAAAACATTTTAGAGCTTGCTGGTGTTCAAAATAGATTTTGTTAGAATAATCATTCGAAACTTAAGTAAAATAGAATGCCAAGTCTTGCCGTGAGAGGGGTAGGGAAGAAAGTCCCAGAACACAAAAATGTTGAACAGAAACTATCTCGGAGAGGGGAAGGGAGAATTCCTCGAACATGCGTCGTAAATTGAAAAGAAAGATACAGGAAGTTTATCAACTCTGCAATCACTTGATTAAATTATCTTATGTTAGACTCGAATAATCAAAATTCGAATGCCTTTCAAAACTGGTTGAAATACTTAGACTGCACGAACAGATAACATTTTGCGTTTCTACCAAAAAAAAAAAAGAAGGAAGGGATAGGAACAATAAAATGAAATAAGATAAAAAGGTATTAATTGTATTATTTTGAGTTGACACCAAGAGAATTTTTTTTTACGCACCAAATAAGAAAAAGCATTATATGAAAGCTCAGATTGCTTCAATGATGAATATCAGCTGTTAAATCTCACGAGTTCAGAAGCATTTGAGAAAAAGTCAGCTTACATTTCGTGTTGTGAAATTCAGAAATGTTATTAATCATGGACATTACACGCTTTGGGTGTCTTATTGAAACAACGAATTGTAACGAATTTTCTACGAATATATTTTACTTTTCACAAGCAAATCGTGAGTTCTTTCAGCTGTCTTTGTAAAACACAAGTAATATAAAAAAAAATTAAGTCAATTCCTACTTCGATCAACAATTTTTTTTTTACTTTAGCTACTTTTTATTAAATAGTTACAATTAATATAAATATGTATATACATATGACTTATACATATGACTGAATCACAACAATATGCGGAAATTAATTTTTATTAATTATCATTAAAGTATCGTATTGTCATCCAAAACATTCATGTATATAAAATTTCAGTTCAGCTGAATGCACGTGAGAAAAAAAAAACCTTTCCAAGTTTTGACACAAGTCGCCAAAATGGTCGCTAAGTCGCCAACGTGGTTGTATTTGTAATTCTTTAAATAATTAGTTTTAATCAATTAATTCTTATTAATTATAATTAAATTATTGTATTGTCATCCAAAATAATTATGTATATAAAATTTCAGCTCAGTTGAGTGCTTTAAAATATATTTAATTAACGATCGAAAATTCCACCAAGATAAATAAATAAATAAACAAACAAATAAATACATAGAGAGTGTGACCTAATAGTAGGAATTGAATGATTAAAAATAGGACTCAAAAAATTGAAATAATTTTCCAATAAAATTTATACCGGGCTTCGAATTGGAAATGAACCGAAAACCGGAAAAAAACCATACTTTTGGTCAGAATGAAAACCGGAACTGAGCCGAACAAAAAATATCGGTTTATTTTGGTTCGATATATCTTCAGCCATTTTGTTACTGTAATCAACCAATCAATATTTTCTAATTTAACGTCAACCGCATAATTATCATCATTACATGCACATTGTTTCTCGATTTCTTGTTTTGATGTTCACTAGCTCTTTTCTGTTTCAGTTTCGCATGAAACTACTTGTAGAAGGCAGATTTAATTCAATTAAATGAATATAAGTATAGATGATTTAAGATAAGAGCATACTTGAAATAAAATTTTTCATTTGGAACTGAACCGAAAACCGTTATTTTTGTCGGAACGAAAACTGGAACTGAATGGATATAATTTTTTTAGTTGAACCGGAAGGAAAAAATTACTGTTCGAAACACAAATTAAAAGAAAATCCCTCTTACGATAAATATTTTTCTTAATATTCATGAAATATTTAAATCATTTTACTCCTTTCTGTTTCAGAACTTCAACGATCTAATTCTTGCCTTTGGTTACATGTACATTCGTATTTTCTTGGAGGGGGGAGGGATTTGAATCTCAAAGATATTTAATGCTGTTTATTTGTTGTCATTCAAAGATTAAACACAAAATCAATAAAAAATAACACATATTTTTTTAATTGCTCAATTTTGTATTAATGATACAAATATCAAAGGAAAAGAAAAGATTTCACGTTCTTACAGTTTGTCTCGACCTGAAGAATAGAGCTAACGTTTTACTGCATCAAAAGAGAGAAAAAATCACAATTTATGATGCTCATATTTTGATTAATTTAATTGTTACGGTTGCTTGATTTCTAAAAAATCAAAACTTCTTCCCACATCATGTTTTTTTCTATAACTTAAATCAGAGATGGGTATTAAGTAGATCGCGATCGACTGGTGGACCGCCAAGACATATTGGGGTGACCACCTGAAGATTAGTAGTTAGTAATTATTTTTCTGAAATATCCAAGATTGGCTGACAGTATGCAAACTGTAATTCTTCTACTGACTATAACTACAAAAACTAATTTTAGATGAAAATATTTTATTTTTTTAATGTATTTTAAATTGCTTCATAATAAATGCATCATTCGATATTATTATATTTGTGACTATAATTATTATGTTTGTATCTGCATTTTGCATTAAACGTGGTCTTAAAAGTGTAAGATTTTTTTTATTATAGTTATATATGTAAGTACATATATATATTCGGTATTTATTATTAAGGTAATAAATACTACAGAGCATTTTCTTAACTCACCACACTTATGCCACTGAGTGGACCGTAATACCTTGAACAAATTAGAGGTAGACATAAATATTATTCCCTCTCTAAATAAGCTTTAGTTTCATAAAATTTCACTGGAAGTTCCTGAATTTCAAGGGTTTTAAGAATGAAAACTTCTTGAAAATTAAATCATTTCAAACCTTTATAAATAAGTGATCTCCACATGATTTTTTAAAAAAAAATCGCTGTGATAGTCAATACGATCGGTTAAGTATTATTTTCCTTCCTAATACATCTGAATGACAAAAAATGCTGATATTAATGGTAATTCTTAACTTATTTGTACAAAGCGTATCAGCCCAATATCAGCTATATATACGAGTAATTCACAGTAAATAATTACTACTAAAAATAAACAAAAATATAGTTTAAAAATCTGTTGCTCCCGCTAAAATCCCCCCAATTATGTTTAAGCATAAAAAAGAAAATTATAAAAATATCATAGAAGACCTAAATAAGGATTTCCCCAGTTGCAACGTAAAGCTAGCAGGGAAATACCTTAAAATTTTTACGACAAACAGCGATGTACACCGCACCATAACAGACTACCTCGACGAAAAGCGCGAGGAGTTTCATGTGATCCACATCCGCTGGATTCTCGCCCCCAGAAAGTAGTTATTAAAGGACTCCCGATTTCCAAGGAAATCGGAGAGATCCAAGCAGACCTAACCTCACAAGGATTTTGTGTCGAAAAGGTGGCGCAGTTCACCAGATCGAAAACAAAATCCCCGCTCTCCATTTTTATGGTTGAGCTCAAAAGATCATCCGATTCCCCAGACATTTTTAAAATAAAAAAGTGTTGCTACCTAGCTGTGCAGGTCGACACTTTTAACAGACGGTCGGGGGGTTTCTCAATGTTACAATTGTAACTTGTTCAACCACTCATCAAAAAATTGTCACATGCACACTAGGTGCTTAAAATGCGGTGAACCACACCGAACGAACGACTGCCCAATTAAAGAGAAAATAGCTAACCCCATATGCATTAATTGCAGCAAGACAGGACATATGGCTAACTGGAACTAAATGAAGAATTGACCTAAATTAAACTGAAAATAGGTGAAGTGACCATCAATCGTAATACCGTTAAGAGAACTGAAGTTAATAAAACCTTTAAACCGGTCACGCCAGATCTCCCGTTCTCGGCCGCTCTTTTGGGCGGTCAAAATGAAAACAAAAACCCGGAACTTCGGCCCCCACCGAAGAAACCCCTCAAATCAACGAAAACAATCGCAATGAAAATTATTTTGGATTCAAAGACGCGATCATCGAGTTAAGAAAATTCTTCCTCGACTACCCTTTCCTCTTGGAAATGGGAAGACAGTTTAGGATTGCAAAAGGCGACGAGAGGATTGATATTTTTTATGAACACCT